TAATCCGAACTAGCTAGTCCGTGCCGCATGTAGCCGCGCGGCACGGGGTTCGAACTAGCCGGCATTTAAAAATGGCGCCGGCCGGCTTTATGCAAATGAAGCCCGGGAAATTCAAATCCCGGGCTTCATTTGCAACTCCGTATGACTACATTACCCCCCCTAGTTCGAACTGGGGGGGTAGTGTAGACATACCCTATTTCTCCTTCACTGGCCCATCTTTTCCTCTGCCTGGTTCTCATAGTCACATGCTTCCACTGTCCATTTTCTTCACCCATCAGTCCCCCCTCAGAGGCCTTTGATCCTGCTTCAGTCTGCATGTCTAAGCTTTCCCCTTCAGCCACCTCATGCCTTTGCTCCATCATCTGCTCAAACCCCCTTCTAAACTCGACCAGAGTTTCCACCTGCATCTCCAGTCCTCGGATCTTTTCTTCCATATTAATTCAGCTAAACGTAAATATATACCTGGAGATACAAAGAACATAGATCATTCCTACAAGATGAGGGATGCTATGCTGGGAAGCAGTGCCTGTGAAAAAGATTTGGAAGCCACTGGTGGATAATGAGTTGAACATAAACTACCAGTTGTCATGAGATAAGAGGGAAGGTCCTCTCATGGACTGATAACTGGTTAAAAGACAGGAAACAAAGGGTAGGAATAAATGGTCAGTTTTCATAATGGAGAGAGGTAACTAGTGGTGTCCCATAAGGGTCTGTACTAGGACCAATCCTATTCAACCTATTTATAAATGATCTGGAGAAAGGAGTAATCAGGTGGCAAAATTTGCAGATAATACTAAACTGCTCAAGATATTAAAAACCAAAGCAGATTGTGAAAACCTTCAAAAGGATCTCACCAAACTAAATGATTTGCCATTTTGTTGCCAATGAATTTTAATGGTGATAAATGTAAAGTAATGCACACTGGAAAAATAATCCCAACTATACATACAAAATGATGGGGACTAATTTAGTTGTAACCACTCAAGAGAGAGATCTTGGAGTCATTGTGGATAGTTCTCTGAAAACATCCACTCTATGTGCAGCAGTAGTCAAAAAAGCAAACAATGTTAGGCATAATTAAAAAGGGATAGAGAATAAGACATAGAATATCTTATGGCCTCTATATAAATCCATGGTACGCTCACATCTTGAATACTGTGTACAGATGTGGTTGCCTCATCTCAGAAAAGATATAGTGGCACTGGAAAGGGTTCAGAAATAAGGCAACAAAAATGATGTGGGGTTTGGAATAGGTTACCATGTGAAAAGAGATTTAAAAGACTGAGATATTGCATCTTGGAAAAGAGGACACTAAGGAGAGATATGAGAGAGGTCTATAAAATCATGACAGCTTTGGAGAAAGTAAATAAGAAAAAGTTATTCAATGTTTGCATAACATGAGAACTAGGGATCACCAAATGAAATTAATAGGTAGCAGTGTTTAAAAAACAAATTGAAGTTTTTCTACATGCAGTACAGACAACCTGTGGAATTCCTTGCTAGAAGATGTTGTGAAGACCAAGACATTAACAGCATTCAAAAAAGAACTAGATAAATTCATGGAGGTTAGTCCATCAATACTTATTAGTCAGGATGAGTAGGAAGGGTGTCCCTAGCCTCTGTCAAGGGCTGGAAATGGATGACAGGTGAAGGATCACTTGATGATTAACTGTTTTCTTCACTCCCTCTAAGGCATCTGGCATTGCTCCACTGTTGGCAGACAGGATACTAGGCTAGATGGACCTTTGGTCTGACCCAGTATGGCCGTTCTTATCTCCTTATTTACCAGTACAATATTGTGGCCAAAAGGACTAATGTGCTCCTTGGAGTCATAAACAGGGAGTAGAGAGAATAATTTTCCTCTGTAGAGCAACCATTGCTAGAATAGTGTGTCCTGTTGTGACATCCACAATTCAAGAAGGATGTTGATAAATTGGAGCAGGTTCAGAGAAGATCCGCAAGAATGATTAAAGGATTAGAAAACCTGCCTTAAAGTGATAGACTCAAGGAGCTCAAACTACATAGCTTAGCTGGAACACTCCTGGGGAAAAAACAGGTCCCATGTTCAACAACTCCTCCCCTGCCTTCCTAGAGTTTCCAGAGAGCCACAAATAGCTCATGTGCAGCACTCAAGCTCAGTGAGGAAGGGAGAAGAGTGGGGATCATAGCGGGATGCTAGGGGAAGAGGCCGAGTAGGAGCCAGAAGCACAGCCCAGTAGCCATGGGCTTGGTGGAAGCTCTCTAACCTGTATTGTACCAGAGGCCACATCTAAACTTACCACGCCAGAGATTGATCTTCTGGCGTTTGATTTAGCGGGTCTAGTAAAGACTCGATAAATCAAATGTAGAGAACACACCTGGTCAGCTCTGGTGGTACTCAATTTGCGAGGAGTAAGGGAAGTCAACGACAGTGTTTGCTCCCGTAGACCTCCTGCTGTCAACATGGCACCATACTTGTCAACTCCAGCTAAATTATTTACAAACCTGGAGTTGAGTACGTTAAGCCGACCTTCTAGGTCTAGCATAGATCTGACCAGAGATTAGAGTAGATAATCAGAATGAACCCTTCTGGCCTTGGAACCTGTAAATCTATTAATTGCTCCATATGGAAGCATAGAGTGAAACTTCAGTTTGTACATGGCTATATTGAGTTTTTGCCTAATTACATAATTGACATCTATCTCACCTACTCTTGCATTAAACTCTTCTGCTTTTGCTTTCAAAGTTCGTTTGGATACAGATCTAAGCCATGGGTGCCATTATTACCACTGATATTAAATCCTAGCAGCATTTCTGAATGAGCTGTGGCCAGGAGCCCCGAGAATGCTTTGTGTGCAGTGAGAGAGATGTGGTCTAGTGGCCTATGCTCTCTAGGATTCTAATAGTCAAGCAAGTGATTTGCCCTGCCCTGTCTGAGCCTTGTTTTGCAGAAATAGGGCTAAATATGACTTATTTATTTCACAGCAGGAGCTATCAGGTGTAATTGATTAATATTTGTAAAATATTCTATTAAAATTATTGCTAAATAAATATAAAGTTGTAATGCGGACGAGGGATACAGCAGCTCCTTCTCCCTCAGTCTTACAGGAAGAGTCCTGTGAGCCAAATAACAGTGCAGGCTTTCTGCAATGATTTACTCAGAGGCACCACTGAAAATGGGCAGCGTAGTTTGAGGGTGATATGACAGCTGTCTACGGGTAAATGAAGATGTTAATACCAAGGGGTGAGGAGGATTGAGATAGGACAGACCACTGAAGGAACAATGAGATGAGCCTGCACTCAGGAATATTTAAGCTGAATAGCAGGTGAAATTCCCAACGGATAGTATTATTAGATCGCCATCTCCCCCAAAATAATAATAATAATGGTGGAAGCCTCGTTGCCTGCTTTTGGTTCCACCCCTTATGCTACATGAATATTCTCTGTGGGACAAATTTCACCGTGTACTCATGTTATACAGACCTGCAAAAGATGCTCTAAATGTCATAGCCACCCAGAGGTGGGAGAATTGGAACATGCTGGCTACTGAGTAACTTTGTTAGTTGTAACTTTTTCTGGAGCAAGAAAAGTGTGAAGAAGTTAGTGTGCTTTACTGAAGCCCTAGGGAGGGGGTGAGATTCAGAGCTCCACACACAACTTCAAAACACTGTCTACACAGCTAGCCCTGCTAGCCCAGATCCATAGCCTTTGCCTGTGTAGGCATACCCTGTCAGACTTGTTTCCAGGCTTGAGATGAGATTGCAAGTGAATCAGTTCATTCATCCTCTTTCCCCAACTCCCCTCCCATCTATCGCAGGTGAACAAGGAACTAAAGTGGAAACTCTGGAGAGTGATGGAAGGGCCTGTTGTGTTTTCTGTGTCTAGGTTGCAACATTACCGATGTTTTCAGCTTCAGGCGGAGATTCAGGCTATGATGGAAAGCTCAAACAGAAAAGAAATAATGAAATGGCATGGCGAGGGGGATAATAAAAATGCTGATTCCTCTGGCATTCAGGTCAGTCATTTGGGCTTAAACTGCAGCAAGGGAGGTTTAGGTTGGACATTAGGAAAAAGTTCCTAACTGTCAGGGTGGTTAAACACTGGAATAAATTGCCCAGGGAAGTTGTGGAATCCCCATCTATGGAGATATTTAAGAGTAAGTTAGATAAATGTTCATCAGGGATGGTCTAGACAGTATTTGGTCCTGCCATGGGGGCAGGGGACTGGACTTGATGACCTCTCGAGGTCCCTTCCAGTCCTAGTATTCTATGATTCTTTGATTCATAGGCTGTGGGCCTGTCTCAGAAGGTGACCCCGCTTGGTATACTCTCCTGCAGCCATAGCATGATGGGCCCACCCATCCTCCATCCGCCAGAGTGCCAGAAATAGTCCAATGTGTCCTTCAGTACAAAAGGCCCTTTTGGGAATTACTTCTACAAAAGAAAGGATCATGCACATAACAAATACTAACACTGTAATCCAGGCACTACAGTAAAACTCCATTGGTCCGGCATCCAATGCTCCGGCACTCCTGATGGTCCGGCACCATCAGGAACCTGGAAGTGCTCTGGCTTCTGGACAATTGGAGCTGTTCTGCGCCCGGCTTCCCCGATTCAGCTGCTGCTGAAACTGACCAGCAGCTGAATTGGGGACGCCGGGGGCAGAGCCGCTGGGGTCGGCGCTACCAGACCAACCCAGCAGCACCCCAGCTGCTCTGCCCCAGGCGTCCCAGATTCAGCCGCTGCTGAAACAGACCAGCAGCGGCTGAATCGGGGATGCCTGCGGCAGAGCCGGACTATTGGAAGGGGGGGCTATGAGGGGTCTGGGATGGCATCCCTCCCACCCCACTCCAGACCCCTCATTGACCCCCCTTCCAATAGTCCGGCATATTTGATAATCCGGCACCCCCTGAGTCCTAAAGGTGCCAGATTATCGGAAGTTTACTGTACATCAGATAGAGTTACGGTGTCCCCTGCCCTCACTCTCTGGCCCAACCGTGGTGTCCCTCACCACACCCTGGCTCTCCAGCCCAGCCACAGTGCCCCGCAACACATACCAGAGTCCCTCTCCATGACCCGACTTCCTGATCCCTCCCCAACATCCCTCACCATGCTCCGGCTCTTCAGAACAGCCTCTATGGCCTGCTGGCTTCAGCTCTCTGACTCCAAGAGCCAGAAAGCATCTTCCTCTGCTGCTCTCAGAGTTCAGGTTTCTCTGGGCTTGCCTGTCTCTGGCTCAGTTTGGATGCCCAGTTTGACACCTCCTAAAGGAGCGTGAAGTTCTGAAAGTGCCAAGGACCTGTCCTCTTGGTAGACAGGCACTCAAAAGCTCTAGTAACTTTGGAAAGCCTTGTTAGTGTGACAGACGAGGAGACGTTCTTCCAAGAATTGGCTTGTCTGTGAGTAGGTGCTCTGCCCTGCACTCTTTAGTGTCACTCTTGCTAAGAGAGCCTGGGGCTCTACTCACAGCCACTGCTCTGCTACCCTTTCTTCTTGTGGGTTTTACAGCACCTGTGATCTCCCACATGGCTTGCATGTCTAACTGTCCCCAGCACAGACTGCTGCTAGGAAAAGCTGTATTAGGTAGTGTGATCTTCCTGGTGCTTTTTTCATATTTATTCCACCTCTGCATCCAAGCACTATGTATTTCCATGTGGAAAGGTTCAGGGCTTCAGTTCCTTTCAGTGTTAATGTAACCACCACCAGGTGGATTTGAACCTGGGAAGCAGAGTTTAGGAGCCTCTATCCTCTGAGCTAAAAGCCAGCTGGCTCTCAGCCCATGCTGTAGAGTTCTCTTGGTCTTAACTGTTGCTGTGGTCTAGGTACCACTTGGATTGTTCAGTAACCACACTAGGGCTATGTCTACACTCGTGGCTTCTTCTGCGAGTAATATGCAAATGAGGCTAAGCGTGGAATATCGCCGAGCCTCATTTGCATACCTAATGAGCCACCATTTTTTTCAGAAGAGGCTCTTGCGCAAGAAGGAGAGTCTACACTGCCCCTTCTTGCGCAAGAAAACCCCTCTTGTGCAATGCCGTTCTTCCTGTCAAGTAGTAGGTGTAACGACATTGCGCAAGAGGGTTTTTCTTGCACGAGGGGCAGTGTAGACGCTCCTTCTTGCGCAAGAGCCTCTTCTGAAAAAAACGGTGGCTCATTAGGTATGCAAATGAGGCTCGGCGATATTCCACACTTAGCCTCATTTGCATATTACTCGTGCAAGAAGCCGCGAGTGTAGACATAGCCTTGGTGTGTGGGTTATGTTAATTGACTTGATCATGCACTGGAGGGCTCTTTGACTGAAGGGTCTCAGTAGCCTATGTTCTCTTGTGGAAGGCTGCAAAGCTGGAGGAGACGCTGGATGGGCTGAATGAGGAGTTCTTCCAGCTTACAGTGCAGGCGTTGGCAAGCCAGGAGGAGGAGGAACTACTGGACCAGAAGCTCAAAATCCGGGAGGAATCATTTGCGGTATGAGCCACTTTTAATCGATTTGGTGCATTGACCAAACAGAAGTGTCCACAACAGCTGACCTTCACCTTGGGTGCAACCCTTAATGATTCAGTCTCCTATGCTGCAGAAGGTCAGGGAGGAGAGCCAGGTTAGGTGAACAATTCAGACATCCTCCAACCAATTTCCTTTTCCCCTGCAGACCCTTAACTCCAGTATCTGGAGTTTAATTCACTGAACAAAGGGAAAGTTTTTCCTCCAGGATAAAGTCTTGTATCGTGCACTTTACACTGTAAGGTTGTGTTCCAATCACTTAGTCTTCCATTGTGACACACATGACATTGCATCATGCTGCATGCAGGCTGACAACTCTGTGCTTCAGGCATCTAGCCCCAGAAGATAGGTGGCGTAACAAGGTCAGTGAGACACTTCCCTATGCATCCCACCAAACGAGATATCTGCTGAAGCACAGCGAAAAGGAGAAGGTGGCTGGGATTGGATTATGCAAGTGTATTGAGCTTTGTGATCATTAGCAGAACCCAAATTTCTCTGGGGCCTTCGCAGGGCATTCTGTGATTTAGAGCGTTTCATAATTTTATTGTCTGTGGGAGTCCATCAGATCAGCTTTTACTGGAACATGGAAGCAGTGTAGACTAGTGGTTGGAGCAGGGAACAGCACCAGGCATCTTCAGTTCTATTCCTAGCTCTTTGCCAGTTTCCATGTATGATCTTGGACATGTCATAACTTCCCTATCCCTCAATTTCTGCATCCATAAAATGGGCTGTAAGTATTACTTTCACAGCGGCTATGAGGGTTTATTCATTGGAACATGTAAAAAACTTTGCAGACTTTTATGTTGCAACCAAATAAGATAATTAATCACATTTCAAACATTGCATGAATGAGCTACAGCGCCCAGAGGAAATTGCAACTTTCCAGAGCCCTCTGTAGAAAATTTGGAAAAAACATTCAGTTGAAAAAGCATCCTGCTTCTGTGTCTTATTTCTTGTTGTTCTTCCCCTTCATATCTTGTCACTATGGGTAGTTGCATGAATACAGATTTTCTGTTTACTAAGAGCTCGTCTGTCAGAACTTTCCGTTAGTATCATCACAGATAGTTGCTGTGGAGATGGATTATGATGCAACCGAAGTTTGTGACTTTCAGTGGGGAATAACCTGCAGGAGGATGAAGATCCTGGTTTTCTTTATGCGAATGCATCCCTGGCAATAAATGAGAGAACAAAAGTTTGCAAATAAACAGAATGGCTTCTAGATGGAAAATACTCCAGGAGATAGATGTGAATCTTTGAGACAATGTCCAGTTTTAAAATTTGGTAACTAAGGGTATGTCTACACTACAAAGTTAATTCAAACAAACAAAAGTTAGTTCGAATTAACTTTGATAGGCGCTACACAGGGAAACCGCTAGTTCGAACTTAATTCGAACTAGCGGAGCGCTTAATTCGAACTAGGTAAACCTCATTCTACGAGGACTAACGCCTAGTTCAAATTAAGTAGTTCGAATTAAGGGCTGTGTAGCCACTTAATTCGAACTAGTGGGAGGCTAGCCCTCCCCAGCTTTCCCTGGTGGCCACTCTGGGCACCACCAGGGAACCTCTTCTGCCCGCCTCCCGGCCCCGGCCCCCTTAAAGGGGCACGGGCTGGCTACGGTGCCCGTGCCAGGTGCAAGCCTGCCAGCACCCAGCCAGCAGACCCTGCACAT